AATTTTTTGATTCTTTGTTGTGCAAATATAACCTTAAATGTGATCATTATTCTATTTGCAGTAAATTGAATTAAAAATATATATATATATATACAAAAAAAAAAAAAAAAAAAAATCCGTCCGTCCATCCCTAATTTTGAAATCCATGTAATGCAAAACGAAAAATCAACTTTGCGTGGCCTAATGATAGATATTATACTAGAAAATTGGTATTCAACGAGGAATCTTTGGAAATTTTATTATTTTCAGTGGCAATTGGTAAAAAAAAAAAAGTAATTTAATGATAGGTAATCACAGGCACGGCAAAAAATTACAACCTTCCAACCTATTACAGCAGGAACCTTAGTTATAACGAGGTTCACTTATTTTTTTTATTATTATCATAACAGGTTTAATATATATTAAAATCAGTTTTATCATGTGAAAAATTTAAAACATAGTGAGATAAAACGTTTAGTCGGCATTATTAACATGAATCACGGGTAGATCAGGTGATGTATTATAAAATCCTTTAAAAAAATATCTTTAAGACGCGCGCACAATATATTGATTAATTCGTATAGTTCTTAGTCACGATCAAAATGTAAAAGTAAGCAAGAATCAATTTCAGAACCCACTTCTTTTTTGGTATACTTATTCGTTATTGAATTTGTTTCTTTGACAAAGTCACGTGCTGAAATAAAAATGCCGAAGTTATTGACAAAAAATTCACTTTTGAACGTTAGAAGAATAAATATCTTAGGCCATGCTCCAGAAATACACCGATAATGAGTTTACCAATTCCGATTTATTCAATGAGCTTATTTTCATTTTTAGATAAAGTACATATATATATTAAATTATATAAATTCATCATCTTTTAACAAATCTCGATCCCGAAATTTAAGCTTTTGACAATAATGTTTCCTTATCATCATGAGAACCAAGATTAACGGATGACAAATATTTAAATTTGGTCTTGAAATCAAAATCTCTTTCGTCTGGACAACATCCACAGAAATATGCAAATATACTAGATACTAACAAAATTGTATATAACCACATTGCTAAAAAGTTGATTGTACTGATTACACATGCATTGTGAACTTCTAAACGTGCATAATTTCTAGCCGGGCAAAATAAAGCTACATCACCAACATTACCGACTGTGTAATGCGTGTAGACGACTTTAATACGTGGTAAAATATATTGAAAGTATGTTAAAAAAAAGCTGATATAGTAATATCATAGTAACTTAAAAAATCTAGGTAAAACTTACATGAAATTACAACCATGTATAACGGTACAAAGCTGGAGAATATTTTTTAAATAGTAAATAAGAGTTAGGGTTTTAAGAAATAAAATCAAGTTAAAAATCACATACCATAATTCTTCTATTATCTTGGTCCTTATAATCCCAATACTACATTTACGCCTCAATATACCCAACCATATTAAACCAACTAAAAGTATTAAATATTAACATCATATCTCTATGAATGTAATTAATAAATCAATGAAAATTTACCTGGAAGTGGAATGGACAGGGCTAAATACCTAAAGACAAAACTTCCTCAATGACGAAAAGTTTATCATGAAGAGATGTATAAATTGATTAATACTTACATGTACTCAATAATTGGATTACTTAACATAACTGCACTCGAATGCATTTGAAAATATAATATTTTCGAAAGTTCTATGCAAATAATGTTCAATTGAAATAATTATTTTTGTCATATTTTTTTCAAAAAAATTGAGTCCAGTTAAAAATTTCTTACCAAGAAGAGGACATAGATATATCAGCAAAACTAATGCTGTACCAAATATAACACCTCCAATCCATAGGAAAAAATTTCTTAGGGAATCGCTGCCGGACATGATGTAAAGTATTGCTATCTTATTATTCTGTAATTTAACCCGAAAAAATGTACATGTAAAACATAATCAGCTCCCTAAACTATTTTTTTAATTATTCGAAAGTTTTGCCCAAGCCCATTTCATGTTCAAACGTTTACTTTGCTTGCTAAGCCACAATTTTGACGTCTTGGATGCGCAATAGTCAAAGGTCAAAGTTAATCTATTAATTCTGCGAAAACAGTAAAGATGTACTTTATCATTAACTGAATAATTCGATGCTTGGTCCATTACTTCAACATTTTTTGTTATTTCTATTTAAGACAGTCCTTCATTCAACTTGACTCATATTCCAGAAATAACTATTATTACCGTTGTTATATAGGTGTTTACACCTGGCTTGGCATTCGATACACTGCCGTGAGAAAATATTTTATCACCATTATTAAATTTAAACTGTAGCCATAAACAAACAAGACTATAAAATACTAAAATATAACTAATAACTTGCTTAGACTAAAATAATTTATTTTAAGCAGCTATGATTATTTGTTTACAATATATAGAAACTTCTCTAAATGCGCTGGTTTGTAACCTTACAAAAATTAATCACGCGAAATGTTTTCAAAATTTCAAGTTTACGATAATTTTATAGAGTTATCAGCCCGTTGTTTAAAAAATTTTTTCTACAACATCACTAATGTTTAAAAACGTATTCAACTAATTCGATTACTGATGTACTGTACAGTACGTTCGTTTCATCATAACAATATTTTACCTTCATACGATAACGATAAATATTGCTGTCCGTCGGTTGTTACTATCACTTTATCATGTTAAATAAATGATTTGGAATTTTTTTATTATTTTTATTTTAATTTAGGTAGCATTATTGGATTTCTATGTAAAAGTCTTTAGCGTTAGTTTTAGAATATATATATATATATATATATGATCAAAAAATTAGGTAAGCAGTAAACAACATGGCTGTACGATAATAAATATTAAACAGCAATTTTGACAACATATTTATGGGCAAAATACATATAGCATTGCTATACAAAATCGGTAACGTTAAAAGAGAGTAACGAGTACTCGTTATAAAAGATAACTATTTTAACAAGTACTTCATAATTTTAACAATAGCTACACAATGCAATGTATCCAAAAAAAAAAAAAAAGAATACTGATAATAAATAACGATATTTATAGAAAGTTTATCTCTGCTAATAAATTTTTTAAACGGACAAAATTCGTTTATTCAAGCAAAAATCCACCTTGTGTATCGTAATGAGTATAATCATTGCTGATTTCTTCCATATTTATGTTATCCTCTTTAAATTTTGTACATTCGGTTAAAATGTCACCCTCACTCTCTTCGAATATAAACCCTCCTTCAGTGTCATTGTAACTACTATTATTATCATCGTTAGTGTCCATTATTACATCTGAATCGCGCTCTGTATCATGATCATTTAAATTTGTAGCGACATTATCATTATTCGAATTATTGTTAGTATAGGTTTCGTCTAAATCATTTTCTGAACTAGAAGATTCTTCATCGTTATTATTAAAATTAGTGACAAAATTATCAACACTATGACTAGATTCTTTTTCTTCGTCCGTGTCTCCATGGTACAACTCATTTTCTTCATCTTCATCTTCTTCAACTAAAATTTCCTCTTTTCCATATGCTTCTTGTAATCTTTGTCGTATTTGTAATCTAGTTATTAATTTTCTCCATCGAGCTAATACTTCTTTTTGCCTTTTTGCTTCGTTTGCTGCTGCTACGCTCTCTGAATGTTCCCTCCATGCCTGCATAATAAAAAAAAAACTCAATTTACATAAATATTAAGAAAACGAACCCGAAGTGTATTTACCTCAATTAATATTTCACTATGTTCCTCAGGAACAACAATTCCATTTACAACAGGTATACATCGACGTGCTTGGAAATCAAAGCCAACCTTAAAGTATATAGCTTTTTAATTATACATGTCAAATAATTATTAAAATAAACAACGAATACTTACCACAGCATCGCCATAATCAATACCAAGTTTTTTTGCGATTTTTCCTATACCGTTTACTAAAAAAAAAAATCCAATTTTAAATAAATATTACATAAAAATTATATAACTGACTATACCATATTATAAGATTTACTAGGAATATGGACACCACCAAGAGGACACATGCTTGGTTTAAACATATTAACATTCCCAAACTGATTTTTCGGAACTTTTCCCTATAATCCATAATTTGATATCGAAAAAATATTTGAGCAAAATTTTTTTTTTATATACTATAATAACCAATAATTACTAAGTTAAAAATTTACATCAATGATTGGTTCAGATTTATATTCTTCAGTTTGCCATTCACCGTAAAGAGCTGATTCCGGAGGTTCCTGATTAAATAAATCTGCCATATTTGCTGCTCGACGTTTCGCCAAAGTAAATACACGGGATTTCACATATTTAACCGGTTGTTGCCCTTCCTGATAATTAATTCAACAATGAATCACAATAATAAATTGTGTAATTAAACCATAAGTAATAAATTCAATAAATTTAATTACCATCACTTGACGACCTTCTCTCAACCATGTTTCAACAGTATGTAACTAATATTGTAATATAAAAATGTTGGCCAGAATGAGTATCTATAAAAAAAATATACAGTATATATATTTTTTTTGTTAGTCATAAATATAATAATAACCTGCTTGACATTCTTTCGCGGATAGATTGGTTCGCCTTTGATATGTCCGATAATTGGTGTTGTTGGGAAAATAATTTCAAATTTCTTTAAATGACGCTCGAGAGCATATCTAATGATATTATCTCTTTATAGTAACTATTATGTTTAACATTCATCTAAACCAGGCGTTATACATACAGCGGATGATTAAGAAAATGACTAATAGTTGTAGGAATACGTTCAGAGATTTCCATGCTATGTAAACTAGAGTCTTCAATTTTATCTTGCTCCTGTTTAAGAATGATTGATATAAGTATAATAATAAAAATAACAACAACAATAATAATATTATTATTATTATTAACTGCCATCAACTTACCCTCTCACACGGACGAGCAAAATACACCAATGTTTCATCCCACCAATTTTGCCCGTCTTTGCCAGGTATGCGTAACTTACGCGTTCGAGCACCCCATTGTGTCGCATATCGACGAGTAACATCCTTTAAATAACCATCTAACAAATATTTTTATAAATAATAGTTTATTATCGTAAGTATTGTTTTTTTTGAAAAAAGGCTTTACCTTCTTCGTAAGCAACAACATATGCCATAACATTATCTTTTTCAGTTGAAGGAGGTTCCAGTGATTTTGGAGCATTAACTCGAGCGCGAATCGGATCAACGCATATCCATTTTTTTTGAGTCGCGTAATATACTTCGCACCAGAAAATTGGAGTAGAATCAGGATCAAATACATCTGTATTTAGAAATAAAGAATATTGCAACAAATTAAATATAATAATCGCTAATTGTTAAAGTACATTGTTGAATACGTACAGCGACTAGATAATTTCGTTGGTATATTGTTAGAGGTGCTCTGTGATCTGCGAGAACGAACAGCGGGCCTCTTTTTAACAGTAGGAACATAATCATCATCTGGATTGATTTTCTGTTTATCATCATTATTTTTAACTCTATGAGACATTTTGAATTTTCCAAGACCGAGTATTCTCTGAACATTATTATCATCATGCACATCTTTTTTCTTTGATTTTTCAGTATCTTTTTCAGTATTTTTTTCAGTATTTTTTTGAGATGAATCATTCACTCGCGTAACCTTGAATGTGACAACTTGTAAAGAAAACACCAAACGAGCAGGAATTCCCAAAGACCTTAATAAAGCAACAAATAATTGTACGGATGTATCGCAACTTCCGTTACCGTCTTGAAGGCTTTTGCGAAAAGAATCGATTGAAGGGTGATATTCATAAAATGATTCATCAATCTAATATATATATAGAGCACCATTACATGTTTGACTCGCATGTAAATTGCTCGCTCTTTACTAATACATATTACCCGATTTAATAATAAATGTTCCAACCTTATTATTACCATTATTTCCAACGTTATGACAATCCCATGAACGGATTCCAGGTTTCGTGATTTTAAAATATGATTTCCACCATCTAACCAACTCTTCTAATGCTGTAATTAGCGTAAATCTCCCTCTAGAATGTAAAACTTGATCAAAAAGAGCTAACATATCACGTTCAATTAATGAACAAGCTATAGCCTAATTAAATTATTTAACATTTTATAAAGTTACAAACTTAAATTTTTTATAAGAAAATTATATTGTAATAAAACGTTTAAATACAATTTAAATAATTAATACCTTTATTAAATCGTCATTACACCATTGATTTCTAATTATACCATGAGTAAGAAGTGTTAGCAAATGAGTTTTATGAATATTTTGTCGTATGGCTCTTTCTATTTTAGTGATCCCCTTTGGTCTATAAAGTTTTTTTTTAAAAAATGTAAACATTAAAATTATAATCTCTTAAAGTTAACATTTTGAATCCAAAGAAGAAAATATCTTACTTGTATTCAATCTTGGGAGCTTTGAAGATGATTTCAATTGTCTCATTCGGAATTGAACTAACTTGCAAATCAGATAAATCCGATGTAACTAGAAGCAATTTAAAATAATAAATGTGTGTGTTTTTTTTTTTTACAAATCACCATTGATAATGACTCACTATTGCTATATTGCGACAAATCAACTTCCTCCCATTCGTCACTATTGTCACTATTGTTTTCATCTACGTCGTCTTCATGTATACTATGAGTATTGGGATGCTGTTCATATTTATTAAGTTGTAACCATTCGGTATCTATAGCTTCAAAAACGCTCGTACTTCCATCAGAGTGGTGAACAATTTCTTTTGACTTTCCCTTATCAACAAATTTTGAGTTGGAAATAATATTTAATTCGTTATTAAAATTCTCGATCGAAGAATCTTTTTTTGTATTTGATGTTTCTTTAGTCTTAGCTGAAAACTCTTGACTTATGTTTGATGTTTCATTATCGATTATAACCTCGATAGATGCATTTTTCTTTGATTTTTTTCCTTTGGAGGTAATATCAGTAGATTTATCGATTACTTCTTTTTTTTTTCTTCTTTTATTAGTAATTTTACTGACAGTATCTGTTATCTGGTCATCACTTTCACTATCTTCTTTGTAAGATTTCGTATTAGATATTTCCTTTGCAGCAATACGTGCTGATCTACGAGGAGACATTATTAAGCATTTTTTATAAAAAAGAGTACACAATTTATGCTTATTTATACTTTATAGGAAATCCGTAATTACGTATTTATCTTAATACCTAAAATAGAATTTATGGAGTACATACTCCATCGGATTAACAATAAGTATTAAATTTACCTAATTGGCCTAGATTACACAAAGTGAAATTAATGCAGGCTGTAGACCTTTTAATTTTGAAATAAACTAACATGCCTTTTGTGTAATCCATGCTTAAAAATTAAAACTTATCGTTATACTGTACATAATTATTATATAAATATACGGACCAACTAGGTCGAACGGATATTTTAAAAGATATTATTATCCGATCTGACAAATCGGATAGGATAAATATTGATCCGAAACCTTAAAAATTATTTAGGCAGGTAATTTGGTGCCTTATTGGGAAATTTCCTCTGCGCAAAATCTATTGTTCTATTGTTCCCATTGAGAATTTTATTATTAACGTTGCAGTCCAATTACAAAATAATAAAAAAGGTTATTAAAAAAATGTTTCATGTCCAATACTAAAAAATTACAACGGGTCCCCAAACGGATCCGGATTTGGCAGGTTTTATAAATGGATCATCCGATAATCATTCGACACAGCCATACTTCAATGACCTAACAAATATAAAGTTTAATATACGTAAACGGCCATCCGAAAAATTAATAATAACAGTGAGCTAAAATCCCATCAGAATCACTGGGACTTTGAAATTTCAGTGGAACAAATGTATTGTTAATAAAAATGTAGGTGTATTCATTATAAAATCGTGTCATTAGTCGCGGCTAGATAGAAGAGCGGCATAAATCAGTGCTATGAGGTCTCATTCGGCGCGATTTCAAGACGCATTATCAAGCTATATGTATATTTTTATTTCATTACGGTAGACTCTTAAATTTATTATGATAATGCTTCGTATCATCACACAAACTAGCGATGCAGACAAATCGTCCCGGGACACTTGAAGAACAAGGAGCCTAGTAATTATCACCTCATGTGAAATAATGCTAGCACTAAACAAATTAGCCTAAACTAACTTATCACCTAACCCTAACACTAACCCTAACGTAGGCCGAACACTTAATCATGTGATGTGATTATCATGAAGATATCACTGGGTTCCTTGATCTTCAATCTTCCCTTTTTTTTTTGTAAATTTCTGTTTTTATTAGTTTATCTTTTTATACACATAATCTTCAATGAGTTTCAACAACAATTATCTATATCTTCATCTTTATTAGTTTGTCCCCTTTGCAGTTTCGTCAGTTTCGTCACTCCGTCATTTAATATTTTAATTGACGAAAGACAAACCAAGTTTCGCGTTTCGTCAGCACGAAACCTCAGGTTTTGTCTAACACAATATACGCAACTACGTTCCAGCTGCCTCCTTATTGATTCTTTTTTTTTGATTTGTATTACTTGCGAAAATAAGTAAATTCTAGAAAACCGGTATTGATAGCAAGCGATCTCTTTTTTCGATAAAATAGGCAATGTGGTAGGTTCACTAAAAAGTACAATATCTGAATATAGGAAGTCTAAATCTCAATCACTTTATAATTGGAGATAAGCTAAATTCAGTAGCGGATTATTTTAAGTTTCAGCCGTACGCATAGTGGGAATTGATTGATTCTTGCTTTTGCAATCGACTAATTGAAGAAACTCATTGATAGTTTAAGAAGTTTTTCAATATGTCATCAGTTTATGCATTATACACAATATATACTTTATTACCAGCTTTTAAATGAAAAGATCTGTTGAATTGATATCAAAAATAATTGCTTGTTTCTCTTTCTATCAAAAAACTACTCATTATGTCAGAACCAATTATATCAGAAAAAGATGTTGACATTGAAAATGTCTTTACAGTTCAAAAAGCGACCTTTCTAAACGTCTTTTGAAAACTGTTGTAAAATTTTCCCATGATTATCGGATTTATTTTTAGAGAGTGACATTTACACACTCCCTGTTAAGGCCACTTCTAGTTGATTTTTAGGTTAACGTCAATATTTAGGCTCAGCCATGCGGGGGGAGGGGGAAATTTAAACAAACACCTATAGTCCCAAGAATATTTGATCAAATCTCATTGGTCAACATTAATTACATGATTAATGAAGTTTATGCTGCGTTGTGATTGGCTTGTTTAATTTTCGGGGCAGTTAAGCGAGGGGGTGACGTTACCTAAAAATCAACTAGAAACGGCCTAATGCAAATTTTTAGCTTTAATCGAAGATACATATCTCGACATCTACTTAACCAAATCCGATGAACATTTTTCATTTCAATTGTAGAAAGTAGCAGAATCCAAACAAAAAAAAGCTCCTCAAATTTGGATGAATATAGGATCTTTAATATAATAAAGGCCTATAGTAGTGATGTTGGAAAAGATAAATGCAAAGTATTGATTTGCAATCAAAGATCTGAAGAGATAGGTAGTGTTGATAGCATGTTCAAAAATGATTGTTGTAAGCATGGTGAAATTGGAGTTGAAGTAAATAAACATGAAATATTTGTTCATCATCAAAAATTCTCTAACATGGGCAGTTGTGAAGAAATCGGTGGTGGCGAAATGGAAAAATATAAGGTATTTGGTTATTACCAAAAATCTGCTGAAGATGACAATCTAAAAGCACAAGACAACCTTGGATTGTGCTATCAATATGGAATAGGCATAGATAAAAATGAAAAAGCAACATTTGAGTGGAACTTGAAATCTGATGAAAATGTAATTGCAGTTGATTTAACTAAAGACAGTTTTAATGAAAGCACTGTTGAATTTAAAAGTGATGACTCGATGAAAGGTAAAAGAACAGTGAATAGCATGATGAAGATAAAATGTTGCATAAAACGTCCCATGTGTTTGTCAAATGTAAAGCAAAGAATGAACATTACAAGCATTAGAAACAAGTGATTAAAAGGTCAAGTTAATGAAATCCAGAATCAAGATATGATTCAAAAGCTGATGGTGCAGAATAATGTTGAAAACATGAAGTTGGAAATATCAAGTAACCGAAAGCTTAATAATGGCAGAAATTATAGCAAGATTAGCGTCGGTCAAGGTGTATAGAATTCGTTGAGTTGTGTTAGAAAAATAGAAATTTATAAACATTTGTACCTGGACCATATTGTTGGATTTGATGGACTAGAAAGTGCCATATTTGAAAGTCGCCTTGATGTGCGGAGGCTTGGACGAATGGATTTGTGGATGTTAATTGATTGATATTGAAAATATGTATAGAAAGTGAACATTGAAATATTAGTGAAAAAAAAAACATTAGTATTTGTGTGTATATTATTATATATGTAGAATAATAATTTGTAATTTGTATCATGCATTAATATTGGGATAAGTATGTTGTAGGGAATTAGAGAAGATATTAGAAGGGTTAGAACTTCGGGACGAAGTACTTGGGGGTCTAGCTCCTGTCATGGTGATGACTAACACCTCTTGTGTTGATATTACTAGGGTTAGGTACGATTACGGGTTACCCTATTGTGACTGGGTAACGTTAATGGCGTGATCGCTGATGCATGAATTTAATTAAAAGTCTATTTGTAAGTATTGCATAATGCATGTAACCAGGTAATCAAGTATCTGGATTGATAATTTGTAATAAAAGCTCATCGATTCCAAAAGGATTGATAGCAGAGAAAGATTCTCAGTAAACATTAGTTTGCTTATTGAACAAGCTTCTTAGTGAAAATGTTTGACTTGCTTAGTGAATACACATTCTAGTAAATACACAGTAGTATAGGTGCTTGTGCTGACAAATCATCCAGTGCAAAGTAAGTGCTTGATATTAGGTAAAACCAACCTAAAGCCTCATAGTTAAGAATCCCCCGTGACAATTACCACTATATTCATTAATTCTAGATAGGGCTATGAATCGATTCTGAAAATTAGAATCAATAATCAAATCCCCATAAGTTATTTACTATATTTCTCCAACATATGTACCCAAGGTATTCCCCTAGTTCTTGTTTTAGTACCCAGGGTCTCATCTTCACATAATTTGCAAACAGCAATAAAATAGTTATGCAGAAATGAGAATCGATTCTGATTCAATTTATGATTAAAGCAGTTGATTCACAGCTCTAATTCTAGGACAGCTGAAAATTTCTCAAGGAACAAATCAACGAGTACTTAAGTTACTGAGTCAAACCAAACAAAAATTTATTAATTCAGTTATTGACAATTTTTTAAGTACCCAGAATTTATGAAAACAGCATAAACTCAAATTATGGTGTGAATCGTCTATAGACTAAAGACTGGGGCCACTTAGCTTGACAAGATTTGAAATCAATTATAAATTAAAAATATATTATTACCAGAATAATTCAGTCTATATAATAAAATTGAACCGGTTTAGCATCCCTATGCTGAACTGCGTAAAAATTGTTTCATAGTTTCTTGTCAAATTACATTGGTCAAAATTATATTAGTGCTGACTAGATAAAACAGTTAACATGGATAAACAGTCAAACGGTTGGAAGATTTTAGACAGTTCAATATCTACTATTAGTGATCATACCTGGTTAACATTTAATCTAAAAGGTTAAAACATTTAATAAAATCTAATACAATAACTAGTTTTTACTCTATCGAAGAGGGTAATGGTTATATCCAGATATAATCTCTATAAAAAAATAAGCAGCTATGTAATTTATTTCTTAAATTATATGCATTATTTTATATGACTACATTATGAATAACGATTATACATTTAATTTTTTATACAATAAAATCTAATTCAGGGCATTTGCTCAGGATAAGGAGAATTTCAATGGCGCTTCACCGACAATTATTTCATCGACAGCTTATTTAGTCGACATCACGTCAAGCAAACCCCTAATATATGATGTCAACTAAATAGGCTATCGGTGGAATAATAATCAGTGAAGTAAATGCAACTAGTCACGTTTTTTTGTATTTGAAAATTATTCATGCTTCACGATTAATAAATCTGATATCATATGAATATGCCAA